CCTACTCCTAGAGGCTGAAAAAAGTGAGCTATTTTTGCTGTTACTAGGGTTTTTTTTTGTTTATTTATGCTTATAAGTGAATGAATTTTTGCTTACCATTGTCACCAGGCATCAGGACCCACACGCGCGCAGTGGAACACGCTGTTTAGCTCGTCCGGACGCCCCACTCTTCTTCATTTTTCTTGTTTCATTCTCGTCCAGCCCTCTTTTTAACGGTTTTTTAAGCCTTTTTCACTTTGGAAACACCGATGCACGCAGTTTCTTCACCTCAGTCGCACTAGTTTCGATCTTTTCTTCCATTTTTCATCATAATCTCATCCTCTCATTTTCATCATTACCCAAAATTATCGTGAACTGTGCCTATTATCGGTTTCAGACTTGTCTGGTTGGATGTGCACTGACCTGTATAGGGTCATCGCGAGTCATTATTCAAACTATACATGCATTCAAACACCACTGAGAGTGGAAATCGAATGCGGGGAGTATCCTAAAGACTGATACGGTTATCGCCAAAAACTTTATCTTTTTCATTGTTTGTATTCACGAGCTTTCTTGGAGCCCTGATAATTGATAATCTAGCTGTTGACAAAATGCACACCCTGCCTCTGACCACAAGAGGATTCAGGTGAGGTACTGCGGTTGCTCGCTGCAACGAGCCACACTCTCACCGTTATGCTTTTTCTTTTCGTTGATGTTCAACCAAACCAGAAGTTCTAGTCGTTTGAAGTAGGCACGATCGTGTGTAGCGGCTTAAGAATTTCCAAGAACAAAGTTGCAGGTAGTGGACTCGTAAGCACAATAAAGGCCATTAAGCTATTCAATCAACCTCACTTGAACAAAACAGGATGTTGTGATCAACTTCCCCGCTCTTTACCACGAAGCTAATGCAGCCGAAAGTTGGTCATTTCTTGTTTGCAAATATGATCATCACCTCATACGCAATAGCTCCACATCCCAACTTTTCGTATACACTCGCGACTTGCCTTACTTTCACTTGCCTACTCTCAGTTCTGTGCTGTTAGATTTAAGAGACTTCTCTCTTATTCAAGACATGCCGCTTACTGCTAGAACGCTCATCAGGGCGAATTCAGACGCTTACACAATTCTGTTTTCCTACTGTTTTGGTAAGTGATTGCAAATTAACGCGATTTGACAAGTTCCTTTTTATTCGCTCTCTCTCGTGAAAAACTTCTCTGTTCCAAATATTTCATGCATCGCATATGTTCGGAAGGTGATGAAATCATCACGCTAAGAATATAGGTTGTGCAAACAAGCAATAGAAGTTGATAGAAGTCGATAAAAGTTTCAAAAGTTCGTGAAACGCGATAAAATCAACGTAAGAGCGGTTTCTAGGCCACAAGGATAATATGCCATACAATGCAAAAATTCCGCTCACCACAAGACTCGAATCATAGCTTCTCGTCCATGAAACGTCAACCTTACCGCTGATACAAGTCACTGCTCAGGGTCCTGGTACATCCATGTAGTTTGAGTTCGCTTATGTTGAGCCCACCTAAAATCGCTGTCACAACTCTTCGAGAATCGTTCGCCAAAATCGAAAAGCAGATTTGAGATCAGGATTCGAAAACAGGTCTAACGGTATAAGTACAATACAGTATAAGTACAGTACTTACCCAGTAAGCTGGACAAAGTTTGCTCTCTGCATGACTCTGCGCTTCCCCCATCACGAAAAATGGTTTCTTGAAAATTTTGAAATCTGGATGAAAGTTCTATCGCACCCGTCGTTCAGCTTGAGCCTGGACACGAGTCGCTATCACCTCTTCCGATCGCTTCAGCACCACCTTAAATAGAAGTGTTACGATGATTTTTGATTACCTCGAATATGACCTCCGAGCTTACTCTACCTCTATGTCACAGGCGTCACATGCCAACGTGAAATGTGAGCGGAAAGTAGTCGATTTTGATGAAGATTGCTGTCATCAGGTACTTTCCGCACACCTCAATGAAATGTTGACTCTATTCATTTCTACTCATTTCTTGCTGTAGTAGGGACATGAAGTGATGGAGATTGGGTATACTAGCAATGAAGCTTCTCAAATACTATTTTTGAGGCTCATTGCTTTTGATCTATAATATTCATTGACCAGTGCTTGTGAGAGATGTAAAGGTTCTACTTCTCAGGCCACCTTCTCACCGTCGAAGATGTGATGAACTCTTTCCTGACGGTTTTAATGACGAAGAGGACTTCACTGTAGACGATGTAGATCGTATCGAGGAACATATCTCAAGGTATGTGATGCTTTCAAGCGTGCAAAACGTTTTACGCCTGTAAATTGTCATGTTCAGGTACCTAGCCGCGGTTCATCTCTCCAGAGGTGAGTTCCGAGAGGCGGAACGCAGGCTCATTTATGCGAAGTCGATGGAGAGCAAGGATTTGTTGATTAAGGTGATCTCGAACTTGAAAACATCTATAATACATACATATATTAGTCGATGAAAAGGTATTAAACCGATTCTTTTAATGTTCGGCCGCAGCTGTAGATTAGTCTTGAAGCGTATCCACAATAGGTATATATATAGCCAGGTTGTCTCAGCCTCAATTACGATGTGAGCGAAGCGTCTTTCGCCATCATCTACGAATGGCGGGCGATGACTACTGTTCGTAACATCAACGAATCAAACGCGCATTGGCAGAAGATACCACTTTTATCAGCACTGTCGAAAGCTGGTTCGCTCACTTCGAAGAAGGAGACACGCGCGCTGGTCGGGATGGACCCACTCGAAGAGTCGGTTGTTCTCAAAGCTGTCAAAGAATATCCTAAAACTTGTAATCGCGATGAGGCTTGGGTGTGCCCATCCAACAGCCTTTAACCATCAGGCTCTTGACTACAGGAAATTGCTAACCTTATGTATTCCTAATGTACTGACCGAAATCGATCGGTTCACCGGTATTAATTTGGCGATCTCTACTTCTCCGCCTGCACCGAATGGAGTTTCTGTGTAAGATCTGATTAAAGTGGACGGGAATTGACCCCCTACGACTCTACCAAGTACCGTGCCGAATTGTGCCTGTGGCTTCCAAGAAGAAGACCCATCGACAAAGGTCAGTCGGGCCTTAACTGCAAGAAGCATTTCATTTTCTATTTCTGGGGTTCACGAGGGATGTTGCATTACGGACTGTTTCCGTGACGACACGCGGTCACTGGTTACATTTACCCCATTCAGCTCCACAAACGTGCAGCCGCCGTTCGAGAAAACAGCTGAGACGAGCTTCCGCCCACTTACCGCACGATAATGTTGGGTCAGAAAAAAATATCCGTGCAAAATGGAGGAGGTGGGCTGGGACATCCACCCTTTCTATTCATCTGACATTGCACCCTCTGACTCCCTCTTATTTTTNTTTTTCCCCTTAAGGCCCTCCTAGCTGAGAGAAAAAGTTCACAAAACTTGAAGATGTTCAACAGGGAGCAGCAATCTCTTCCAATTTTGAAAAAAAGTGGTAACAGACCTGCTCAATAGGTGGGACACTGTTGTGACTGGTGTATGTTGAATTAAAAAATAGAACGGCTGTAGTGTCAAACGGCTCATAACTTTCGTCAAAACCCCTTATATACCAGGGCGGAGGAGGTGTAGTGGCAAAAGGCTCACTATCTCACGCATGGTCACGGATTCGAAGGTCGGATGGATATTCGCCTAGGCCAACCAAGCCTTCCATCCCTACGGGGTCGGTTGATTAGTACCAGACTCGCATAGGATGAAAACACTGACTTGTACATCGACTGGCCACCGCACATTACGCCACTACGATTCTAAATGGAAGTATTAGGGTGTCTCAAAAGTTTTGAGAAAATTTATTTGGTTTATTCAACACAAAAATACTTCAACAAAAAGGTGAGATCAGTAATCGAGATAGTGGCCCTCTTTGGCCACGACGTCCCTCCATTGACTGGGCAGAGGACTGATGCAATTCATCCAGAAAGAAGAGGAGTGCGACGCGATTCATTCACCTTCTGCACTTTTGACCTCCTGACGGTTGTGAAATTTTTCCCTTCGAGGTAAGCTTGCAGAGTCCTGGAGGCGTGGTAGGCGCAAGGGCTAAGGTCATGTGAATACGGAGGATGGGGCAA